CTTCTGATCTGAAGATTATTTTTGGGGGTAAGAAGCTTTCGCTTGTCAGTTACACTGATTCTAACATGTCTGGAGATGTTGATTCTAGCAAGTCTACTTCGGGTTACTTGGTAACATTTGCGGGTGGAGCTGTGGCATGGCAGTCAAGGCTGCAAAAGTGCGTTGCACTATCTACCATTGAAGCAGAGTTCATTGCTGCAACTGAAGCTTGTAAGGAGTTGTTGTGGATGAAGAACTTCTGTGAAGAGATCGGTTTCAAGCAAGAAAATTATATGCTACTTTGTGATAATCAAAGCGCAATTTGTCTCGGTAAGAACTTTACATTTCATTCGAAGTCAAAACACATTTTGAGAAGGTATCATTGGATACGAGATGTGGTTGCTTCTAAGGAAGTGGAACTTGAGAAAGTTCATACGGATGATAATGGGGCTGATATGATGACGAAGTCTTTACCGAAGGGGAAGCTTGAAGTATGCCGAGGGATCGCCAGAATGGCTGTTTCATCCACCTAGTCGGAGGGGGAGTTTGTTGGGTTCCTTCTAGATGGAGTAAACCCATTGGATTTGGTTGGTGATAACCAAACTTGGTTGTTGGGCCAATGATATTTATCCATGAGATTAGTATTGGGCCTTGGGGTTAGTGAGACACTATATAAAGTCTCTTAACCTAATTTTGTGGTAAGACTTTTGGAGATACACAAGAAAAAGAAAGGAGGCAAAAGAGAGAAAAGAGAGAAGAGACATATTTTCGTCTGGGTTTGTCAAGGCAGATTTGGAGGGTCAAACGGACTCTGTTTAGGCTGATATTTTGTGGGAAGCTTCTTCAGGCAGTGGGTTAAAGGTTCACCGAAGGGATTTAGATTTCAACGGTTGGATCTTCTATTGTCTGGGTTTTCGTGAAGCTGGTCGTCACAGTTTTTCAGCAGTGTTGTCTTGAGTGTTTGGTAAATCCTACGGTGAGATCTTCTCTGTTTGAGCTGAAATTTGGAAGAGGTATTGTTGACTTTTGTACGGTGGGATTAGTCTTTGGTTGCCGGAATCCTAGTGAGCTGAGGTCGTTTGGTTGCTGCCAGTTTTTGAAACTTTGGTGTTACTCTTTTGTTGTTGTTCTTGTGTTGGAGATAGCTCTTTGTAGCTGAGTCTATGTTCTGTTCAGGTTGTTGAACAGGGAGGACGTGGTTGTACTCACATACATTTATATAGTGGATTGTTGAGTGAACTACGGTCCCATGGTTTTTCCTTCTCACATCGAGGAGGTTTTCTACGTAAAAAGTGCTTGTCTCATTTAGTTTCTGCTTATATTATATCTTGCTACTGTCGAAGTATTTTCCTCATAGATTCACACAAGGTCAGGGGAACTTAAACACATATTCCGCTGCGCCGTGTCCCATTTTTCCCCAACACCATCATCTCAGCTATCTCGTTGTTACTCAGGTCTGTCTTTGACTCTTTCTTTCTCTATTTTTCTATTAGTCCCAAAAAATCTAGGTAATATAGACGATGGTATAGGAGATTCACTAATTTTTTTGGTGCATATTTGAAGAATCTTCTGAACACTATATACTACTACAACGTTTAGTCTAATGATGCTCCTAAGCAAACACACTCTTTTCTGGGATCACAAAACTTGATTTCTTAAAATCAATCTTCACTCTAAACTTGCAACTTTATATGCTGTATTCTCCCAAAGGCTTACATGGTCATGGTTCTCCTTGATTTTATTTTAAAATATGTAGGTACATTCAGCAAAGTTTGAGGAGAGAACTAGATTCAAAATGTGTAAAGAAATTTAGGAGAAAAGGCTACAGGAATTTGGCGCTGCCAAAAAAGGCATGAGGATTCTATCATGGAAGTAGTTTTTTTTATTTGAGTAATTAGCTCTTTTAGCACACACTACTGCAGTTCATTATATTTGCCAGCTTAAACTAAACATTGGAACGGCTTGCAAACCACTCTGCTATCATTATGTTTGGTTTTGGTTCTTCTCTATAAAGAAGTTGTGTGGGATTCAATCATTTTCCCTTTCAAAAGTGTACATCCTAACCTTAGTGAAACTTATTTTGTTTTCATGACTACACATTGTTTATAGGCATTTTCAAGTTCACTTAAACAGTATTGATTATACCATTCTTTGTTCTAATAACAAACTGCCTTAAATGTAATGTCACACACGAACTATATAATTATTTAAAATGAATTAGCCAGTGGTTTGGTGCATTTCAATTTCAAGGTTGAACTTTAGAAGATTTTTTTTTAAAGGTTTAGAAGATATAATTCAAAATTGGGAAAATGTTGTTGCTTACCGCTTGCTTGCGTCTACGAAAGATGTAATGCGTTTTTTTCAAGGACTTTTTCTGGATACAATAAGTTTGGAACGTTGTTGGAAACTTGGAGTCTAGAAGTTAAATAATATAAGTCTGTTCACTACAAGTACTATTGTTTGGTTTGTCTGGATTTATCATTCACGTAATTATTATTCTCTTCTTTTGTGTTTTCTCCCATAAATGTACTTGAATTTTTCTTATGCTAGAAATCTGCTAAGAAAAATTCAAGTACATTCTAGTTGCAGATTTCTAGCATAAGAAATCCAGGAAAATGGATTTATACTTATGTAATATATAAAGAAAAATTACGTGAATGATAAATCCAGGAAAATGGATTTTTACTTATGTAATATACTTATGTAATTTTCTAGCATAAATCCAGGAAAATGGATTTAGACTTATGTAATATATAAAGAAAAATTACGTGAATGATAAATCCAGGAAAATGGATTTATACTTATGTAATATACTTATGTAATTTTATTAAATGTAATATGCAAAATTACTTTTCCAATTATTTTAAATATATGTTCCCAAAATTAAATAACGCATAATTCATTTATATGTATGGAACAAAGAATCCTTTATATATTAATTGAGAAACATTACAACATGTTTTGGTAGCCACGTCTTATCATGAGAATGCTTCTCAAATTTACTAGAGAAAAATGTTGGTCCATATAAACATAGAGTATAGTTTTTTATTAAACTAAGCATAAAACTATTATTAGTGCTAATCATTATTTTATTAAATAAAATTTACGGTATTACCTAATATTGTTATATATATATATGACAATTAATGATTTGAATATGAAAGATTTGATAAAGCCTCTACTCTTTTTGTTAAATTTATATTGTGAAAATAAATTAAAAATAAGATTAAGTATATAACAAAAAAATAATTTATTTATATATGCTATATTTTGAATTTTTTGAAATGAGGATAAATTAATAAAAAATTAAAAATTTCACATATAATATATTTTATTAATATTTTAATTTTTTTTGTTGTAGAACGATACAAACAAGTATATAATTAATGAGTAAGAAATATCATTTAATAGATATTTAAATCAGATATATATATATATATATATATTAATGATGTTTAAATTAAACTAAATACCATTTAAAAAGATATAAATATTTAATTTCAAAATTGCATTAAACAAGTATTGAGAACTTAATACTTTAATGATAAAATTTTAATTTAATTTTTTAATCGATGATAAATTATTGTAAAGTATTAAAACTCTTACATTAAAAATGATGTTATCAATATTTTAAAAACTTTATTATAAAAATATACAAATGATCATAAAACCATGTAAGTGTGAAACTTTAGTTATTAGATATCCAAATTAAAAGTATAATATATATATATATATATATGTTAAAATCATTTATTAATTAGATTTACTTATATAAAGTGATTGTAAATAAAAAAATATGATTATTTTATTTAAGTGCTCGCTAAATTAATTATATATATAATAGTTATATATTTTTAAATTATTCAATATATATATTTAATATTTTATAAAATATTAAAGAACATAAAATAAAGAATAAGATATAAAATAATTTATATATATAATTTTCATCCCGCGTAAATGCGCGGGGATTAACCTAGTCATTTTTAAATTGCAAAAAGATGATGAAAATTATTGAAATATCATTTCTTAACTATAATAGTAAAGGATTAATATATAATTAACCTTACGCCCGGGTAAGCAATTAGTTTTACATAAAAGCAAAAATTACACGCAGATATCCCTCGCAACATCTATTATATTAAAATAGAAGTCATGACTCACTTCATGTGTGATTTTTTAGTTTGGACTATCTTAGAAATTTTATAAAATTTTACGTAACATCATTATAATATCTTTTCATATCTTTAATTTTTATTTGAAATACAAATAAATAGTTTTAAGAAAATTCTAACAAAATATTTTAAATATCTTTTAGAATATTTTCAAGCTATAGTTTCAAAAATTATTTGATTAAAATTTTAACTATCATAAAATATAATTCAAATATTAATTCATTTTTTATTTATAAACACAAAATTAAAATTATGTAATATACTTTTAACAATATCCCCTAAAAAATTTATGTATTATGTAAGTCCAACTTAATTAATTTTCACATAGATTTCAAATTTAGAAATAAAACAAAATATATAAATTGGTAATTTTACATAATAATGTTTTTAAAAATTGTTACAAAAATAAAAATTTATTAATTATATATTAATAATATTATAAGTCACATAAAAATTATTATAAAATTGGATAGCATACAGAATCCAATTATACTTATTTATTGATAAATTTTATTATATAATTTTAAATATTTTTGTATTAAAATACCCGCACGGTTGTGCGGATCGAAATCTAGTATTTGATTAAATACTAACCAGAGACTAATAATAAAATATACATTAGCATAGGACAAAAGTCTATATGAATGAAACCACGAGGAAATTAAGACGAATTATTTCTAAAAAAGTTAACAAAGCGTATGAAGCTCGTTTATCATAAATGATTTGTTTCCCTTAAATGAGCTAACACGAGTAATTTACATTACATAGTACCACAAAAATACACTCTCCCATCAAAGCTAAATGTCACACAACTTACATAATTTGAAAATATTCTAGCTAACTATATCACATAAGCACACAAGTATTTGGTTCCTCCACCACAACTCTAGAATTCCCGTTTGGTTGGTAGTACGAACTCGCATAGGAATATTGATATTGGTACGGGTAGTTCATATGGGTAACCGGAAAGGCAACAATATCAGCCGGTTTAGGTGGAGCAGGTTTAGCTGGAGCCGGTTTTGCCGGTTCAGGCTTTTTCTCAGGTGGTTTAACAACTTCAACCGATACAATTTCTGCATTACACAGTTTCCTTAGCTTCATCACGAGAACCGGTACATCAACTTCTCCAACTACTGTCATTTTCCCAGTTTTGTCATCCATTGTTATCGAAGTAACCCCTTGAGATCGTGAAACTTTCACAAACACCTTCTTCCGGATTCTCTCCTCGTGAACACTCAATTGCAACACAGCTTTCTGTCATTTCAAACTTGAGATTAGTATGGCAATAATTGTATATTTATGAAAATAAGTTTGACTAAATGGTTTCTATATATAGCGACTAATCAACGAGTATCAAGTTAAATAAAACTATTTCCAGATTGAAAAATTAAAGAATGAAATAAAGGATTACCTTCGCACTCATGGCTGACGAAAAGCTTCAGAAATTTCCGATAATCTTTTTAACGAGAGAGGATGAGATGAGGTACGCTTGTGATGTTGAACCTTCTTGATTACAATTGCAAGGTCACTGAATATCTATTATATAGAAATTTCAGAGGAAGTTTCGAGGAATTTAATATTATATGACCCACCAAATTTTGTTTATTTTTAAAAAACAAAAGCATTCCAAGGCAACGACTATAAAAAGAGTAACAGGGTGACGGGGTCAATCTTTTTTAACTTATTCACAGTATCGTTTTGGACCTTTTGGTATGTGGTTTTGAAAAGTTTATCAATAATAAATGTGGTTGAAAAGTAAAAGAAATGTAACGAGGCAACGACGAAAGCAACGGGAAGAAGAAGTGTTGACTGCTCATTTGGCCGCGTATACGACCTAGACTACGTTGATTTTTGGCCTTGTTGACCTATTCGGTCACGTAAAAACTTGTCAAACAAGTTCTCTAGATTTTTCTCTACAGATCATAAGTCACATCCAAACAAACACTGGTACTGGTGGAATCCTTTTTTTGTTGGCATCCAATCTGTAACAAACCGATACCGGGCCAAAAATTTTGTTAAGGCAAATGGACTTGCCTGCGGCCCATTAGGGATTAAAATCCTAGGGTTTCCTCATTCCCTATATAAGGACTTGCCTCCTCCTCCTTTTGCCTCATCCTAAAACTGAAGCGAAGCCGTGCAGAAAATTCCGGAGACACGAAAGCCCTAGCCGTCAAGCCTCTCCCTCTCCTGCGCCGCCATCTCTTTCTCTCTTTTCTTCTCCTTCCTCTCTCTCTCCTCCGTGCGGTTCCTTCTCCCTCTCTCTCCTCGCCGTGTGTTCCTCTCTCCTTGCCGAGAAGCAGCTGCGTGTGGTGGTGGTGACCGTCGTGGGTGGTGGTGGCCGTGAGGTTGCAGATCTGAGTTTGTGGACAACCACAGATCCAGATCTCCAGACCTCGTTTTCTAGATCTTGTTTTCCAGATCCAGATCTCAGATCTATTGCTAAGGTGAGGTGATTCGAAAACCAGATCTGTCTTCTTAATCTCTATTCTGATTGATGCGGGAATTAGGGTTTGGATAGTACTTGTTTGAAAGTTAAGTTGATAGATCATAATGGGAGTTAGGTTGTTAGATGAATGAATCATGATGCATAAGAACCTTCACACTGTTTAAATGAGACTTAATGAACTGCCTTGTGTTGATGTGGATAATGATTGGTATGAATGATTGTGTGAGTGATTTGTGTCCCATTGATGATGATGAATGAAAGCTAGGTTGTTAGAAAGAATGTGATGTCTTTTGGTTTGATGTATAAGAATATGAGTGCTATGTGACTTGTGTGAGACACCGAGAACGGGTGGCGTCTAGAGTCGAGTATGAGAATGTAAACAAGAATGACTTAAAGTGAGTTAAGTATGAGGATGAGAATGATAAGAAGTACGAGTACGGGTATGAGTACGAGTATGAATATGAGTATGAGTATGAGTATGAGTACGAGTACGAATATGAATATGAGTATGAGTATGAGTATGAGTATGAGAATGAGAATGAGAATGTGAATGAGAATGTGAATGAGAACGTGTAAGAGAATGAGAAAGTGGATAAGAACATGTATGAGGATGAAGTCGTGTCAATGAACTTGTTTGAAGTCCTGTTTGGACCACCAAGAACGGGTGGGCGTCTAGAGTCTAGGATGTGTAACCTGCGGGACAGTAGCCTAACACGAGGTACCCGCAGGGGCCCACGGGACAGTAGCCTAACACGAGGTACCCGTGGGTGAGAAGTGAATGGCCGTGCAAGGACGGCGTACGCAGAAGAGACCTCTGGGAGGGACCTGCGGGATAAGAAATAGGCGCCTTAAGATCGAGTCAAACATGGCTATTAAGACCGGGGTGGCAGACAGTGCTGGGAGCCAACGAGCTGCAACTCGGATAGTCATTTAGGAAGCTGTAGGGGGGACGGATTTCCCGAGAGAGGGCGCCCCTTCCAGGTTAGGCCGGAACGTGTAGGGACATCCGTAAACGGCCATAGGTCCTTAAGTCTAGGTTGATTGATGAGTTTAGTTTACAGGTTGTTTGCGTGATTGAATCCATGTGAAGCAATGGCTGAGTTCTTGCGGTGTATGAATGTTAGGGTGTTAGAATTCCATATTGAGATGTTGCTGTATGGTTTTTATGTTGCATATTGATTGTAGTGGCTGGCCGATCCTGTTTCCGTATGAGGTAGTGTAGAGTATTATGCGGGCAGGCTAGGCTAGAGTCACTTCACTGAGTAACCCCAATTGCTCATCCCTCCATTTTCGTTTTCCCTATGCGCAGGACTGTAAGTAGAAGTATGAGGATACGGGTGGATCGGATTTCATGAAAAGATGCGTCCGCCGACTCCTGGGACCAGTAAGGACACGTAGGGTTGTCTAATTGAGTAGACACCTGTCCGTAACACCCTTTCGCTAAACTCCGGTCGGACGCCGGGGGATTGGGTTGTTACACAATCGATTTCATTTCAAACTTAAAGGGTTTCATACATGATAGTCTCTACGACTAACCTTAATGGGTCCCTAACCTCAACGAAACTACAGCTTTGCACTCGTGATCGGGCACCTTTAGCAAGACTATCTGCACGGACATTTGCAGAATGAGAGATAAAATTAATAGAAAAAGTAGTAAATGCAGATTTCATCTGGGTCCAACGCAGGCTAATGTTTCTTCTGTTGTATAATGTGTACGAGCTGCTGGCAGTCAGATTCAAAGGCTACTGGTGGGATCAAACTGAGATTTAAGTCACATAGATTTTTTTTTTAACGTTTACATGATCTTGGATATTTTTTTGGTTTTAATTTAATTTTGTTTTTGAGTCCTTAACTATTGCTTATTCGTTATGAGGAAACATAATTCTAGGATATATGATATGGGGTCTAGAGATAATTGTTTGTTTTATATTTACCTTGATAACTATTCTATTAACTAGAGTCACTAAAAATACAAAAGTCATGATAATAATAATATTTCATTAATTAATTGATATCATTTATATAATTATCTATATTAATCAATAAAATATAGAAAATTTCTTAAAAAGCTTAATAATTCATAAGGACAATTTAAATAGTATTTTTAGCTATAACAATACATGTTTGGGAGATATATACAAAAATCTTATGAAACTATTTATAATATTTATAATAAAATTTAAAACTAATAATTTGTAAGTAGTAATATAATAATATTATACATTTAATTTAATTAATTTGTAAATTAAAATTAAAATAAAATAAAATTTATGCTATTTTCCATTAATTTTATAATTACATAATAGTAAATTAAAATAGTAAACACAACAAGATTTTATATACAAATTAGTTGTAAAAATAAAATTTATGCTATTTTCCATTAATTTTATAATTCAAGTTATATGTATATAGGCTCCAAAAAAAATATTTTAGGCCCAAATAGTTTAAAAGAATTTTAGCTGAAAGTTTTTTAAAATAGTCTAGGGTCCTTAAAATCTCAGGGCCGGTCATGTACATGTCTTTATATTAAGTATAGTCATAACCACGTTCGAATAAAAATCGACTTATATATCTCGTCTTGTAGGTTTTCTCGGTTTCACTGGGCGAATGAAGAAATAACAAATCGTTATGGGGTCCTCACCTTGGCTTTTGGAGACAATAAGATGGCTTTTGGAGACAAAAAGATGGGGAAGACGAGGGGTTTGGTCCTATCAGCAACAATGTCTGAGTAGAGATAAGATAATGGCACGGTGGTTCAGGATGGAGTAGCGTGACTCCCAAGAAGCAGCCCACGGCTTGATTCACTTCCTTGTAGCTCTCGTCCAACGCAATGTTCTCAGCTTACCGGGGCATCGGAGGTGAAGCCCAATTGCCTAACGAGTAAGCCCAATTGCCTAACGAGTAAGCCCAATGGCCCATGGTTTAGTGACTTGCGGTGCAAGTTTGGTCAGTCTCGGTTTTAAACCATTGACTCCTTTAGGCGAGTTTGCTGGCAGCGGATCTCGGCTCCGGTGAGCAGGAAACAGCCTCCAATGATGCCGGGCGATACCCCATGGCAGAGAGAAGCAGTTCTAGCGGTTTGAGATTGAAGCTCCTCGGCTTGCTTCCTCTTCTTGGCTCAGTTGAGGGGACACCGGGACATGATGGATGGAAATGGCGGTTCATGGAGGTGTTGGTGACGTAAAGGTTTCTAACTAGATCTAGGCTTTTGTATTGTCTCTTGGCTTTGGAGAAGTGACCATGTCTATTTATACACGTCGAGGGCTTTAACAAAAGGAAAATGAAAATTTAGGCAAACAGATAAGACTTGACTTAAACAAACCGGTTCAGAAGAAAACTAATTAATGTAGGAGGGAAGGGGCAATCACATCGTGTTTTAGAGAATGACACTCCACCCCCACGAGTACTCTATGGAATATTCAATATCACAAAGCATCACATCGTGTACGCCGGTGTGGGTTTTATATATCAATAACGTCTGCGATATTACATCACCATCTTTAAAGAAGAAAAGTTCAACAACTTTTTTTTTAACCCACAATGTACTTAAATTACGTTGTTTTTTTGTTTGGTCTTAACCTGAAGCTCCACTCTAGTGTTGGAATATATTTTAGGTGCAGTATTAGTATTTACAAGACCTTGCTTTGGGAATTGGAAAAATGTTCCTATAACATTTGTTTTCAAAAAAAAAAAAAAACATTTGTTTTCAAAAAAAAAAAAAAAACATTTGTTTTCAAGTATAACCGAATCTTTGCCCAAGGAGTTTCTTTCTACAGTTATCTTATTTTCTTCTAGATTAATTCGGGACATTTCATAAGAACAGAAAGTCCAGCAACTGATTTAGGCAAAATCATGATCCAAAGACATCCCATTCAACGTCCGGTTGAAATGCAAATTCTCAATTACTAGATCTCAGTTTCAAAAGTGTAAGTTTAAAACAAAACCCAAAAATAATTGTTTTCCGAAACAATATTGATGAGATATTTTGGATATCATCAACCAAGCCAATGTAAATTCCTTTTTTTTTTTATCAACACCCAATGTAAATTCCCTATATATATCATCATCACATTCATTTTGTTAGAACAATATGACATGTCTTCGTCAAAATGATGAAATGTCTTAATTCTCACTAGATTTTGAACCCGCACATCCGTGCGGGTCTTTTTTCATTTTATAAAAATATAACAAAACCTTTCAAATATATATGATTTACATTCTATTGTTATATATTGTATAATTGTATAATCTTATAATTTTAGTTATTTTTATATAATATATTGTTGTAAGTTTTAAAATAAAAAAGTATTCATATATAATTTTTGATATAATGTATTTGTTGTGAGTTAGAAAAATATATGTTAAATTTTTTTTGTATAAAAATACTATATGATTTAAAAAATTTAATATGTTTTAAAAATGAGTGATATTTATTTATTTATTTGAACATAAGAAAATTTTTAATATAATATAGAATATAACTAAATTATAAAATATAACAATTTTTATTTTTAATTAACATTAATATAGATATTTATATATATTAATCATGAAATTAAATAATGCATATCTTCTAAAAAAAATATTTAAACTTCTTAGTAAGATCTTGTTAGATATTTTCTCAACAAATTTATTACTAATATCTTAAAATATTTTTCCAATTATATATATTTGATTGATTATTATAAATAATTAAATATGTCATATTAATAAGATGGTCCAATATGACTTTTTATAGTAGATATAAATGGTACTTCTCTTTTAATAGAGAAGATTCTGACATGTCAGAGGGTATTTCTGAAATTTTATATTTTTGGTAAGGTGTTTGAAATATAACCATAGCTTTTATATATTACCATTAACGACAAATTTGAACTAATAACAGAATTATAAATATATAAATATTCACATTAGCTTAGGATTGAAAAAAAAAATATATAAGTATTTAGTTTTCAATATTAATTCTGTATATATTTGTTAATTATGTGTTCGAATTATGCTTTAATTAATTAACTAGATCTTTACCCGCGCAACCGCGCGGGTGTTGTTTTCACTTTTATATACATATGTTATTTATATAACATTAGTGATATATATTTTTTAATGTTGAACATATATTTAAATGTTTATATAAATGTATTGCTAATTTAATTTAAGATGCTCTTTTGTATTGAGAGAATGAAAATGAGAATTAAATATGGTTGTTAAGATTTTATTATACAAATACAAAAGATAAGGTAACAACTTTTCTAAGGAAATGTCCATTTTTATAAAAATCACACATAAAGAGAAGTTGTGACTTCTATTTTAATATAATAGATAGATTGGTACAAAACTAATCAAATTACCCAATTAATAATTTATCCATATGATCACCATAAAATATGTTTGTTGAATACTTTAATTCAAATCATTGAGTTAATTAATAAGCTATTTTATATCTCTTAAATTTAATATAAATCATATGTTAGTAAGTTAATTAATAAATTAATTTATTATTTTAATATATTCTAACTAAAGAATGAATTCATACATTCACATATATGTACATATTATTAAAATTAAAATAATCATAATTACAATATATAATAAATAATATTTATTTTATAATTTCAGTTCAAAAAAATCTAAAAATAAAAATAAAAATAAAAATTTCTAGCTAAAATAAATATAACTTATATAAATTATTTATATTTATACTAAGAATTTTTTAAAAATCATGAAAAACTGTACTTAGAAAATTATATATTATTTACATTTATCATCATTTCTCATGGTGCATGAACCTCCTAGTTAAGCTATATATATATATATATATATATATATATATATATATATATATATATATATATATATATATATATATNATTATTTATATTTATACTAAGAATTTTTTAAAAATCATGAAAAACTGTACTTAGAAAATTATATATTATTTACATTTATCATCATTTCTCATGGTGCATGAACCTCCTAGTTAAGCTATATATATATATATATATATATATATATATATATATATATATATATATATATATATATATATATATATATATATATATATCAAATAAACTAGGGAAAATTTGGAGAAATACAATTATATTAGAATTTAATTTGAATATTACACTGTGATTTAAGTTTTTTGAAATAAACACTTTTATATATACAAATTTACTAAAAATATCCAATCTGAATATTTAATGTTATATTAAATTTTTATCATTATAATTTATTTATATTTAAATTAACAGTTTCAACAAGAATGTTTTTTTAAAAAAAATAAATCACGATAATATCTGCACAATATCCTTTTAAATATATCTAAATAATTATTTATTTGAAAAAAGAGAACAAGCTAACGTCATCTCATATTCTTCCTGAAATTTTGTTTTCCAACAATCCATGAAGTTTTATTAAATGATATTTTCTATCAAGAGAAGACGCATATAAATTTTAGAGTTATTCTTGGGTCGAACCTCTAGGTTCATCATCCAATAGGATTGCATTATTTCATATTTGATATCTTTTAAAAAAGGAAACAAAATCTTGTTAAGTTATATTATTTTTTAAAAATAAAAATACAAAATAAATAAAAATAATAATAATTAATAAAGACAAATATATTTTTTTTAAAAGAAAATTTTTAACACTAAACCCTAAACTCTAATCCTAAAATGTAATCCTAAATCCTAAACCCCTAAGTAAATCATAAACCTTTTTGGATAACTTTTATAAAAAAATTCTTTACAAAAATTATTTTAACATTAAAACACTAAACCTTAAACTCTAATCCTAAACCCTAAACCCTTGGGTAAATCATAAACACTAAACCCTAAACTCTAGGCCTAAATCCTAAACCCTAAACCTTGGGTAAATCATAAACACTAAATTTTTAAAACACTATAAGATTTATCCAAATGTTTATGATTTACCCATGGATTTAGGGTTTAGGATTAGAGTTTAGGGTTTAATGTTAAAATATTTTCTTTAAAAAGTATTATTTTCGTTTTTGTTAATTATTATTATTTATTTTTGTATTTTGTATTTTTAAAATATAATATAACTTAATAATATTTTGTTTCCTTTTAAAAAAAATATCAAATATGAAATAATGCAATCATATTAGATGGTGAACCTAGAATAAGTCTAGGTAAAATTTAACTTTTGGATACATCAACATATATGAAAATATATTATAGGGAATATTTTTGAATCAATTTTATTGTTCTAGTTCACTTCTCACCAAATTATAGCTTTCTTTTACTACTTTATAAATCACACCAGTAAAAATCAGAGACTCCAAATACGAACACCCTAAAAAACTTGCGAGAAGTTGAGATTGGAGACACTTGTCATTATTTTCTTGTTTTTTTTTAAATTAAAAAACTGTACATATTTTAAAGATTTTGTTTGAAAAATCTTTTCTTGTTAGAATTGTTGAGAAAAAAATTATTAGCAACATTCTGAATCTCCGATAATAACTTTTAATATTTTTGGATTGGATAGATTAGTCAATTTAAATATACAAAAAGGCAATTTACAAAATATATAAATAATGGTATAGTTTTCAAAATAAATTCTAATATAAGTGTGTTTCTTCAAATTTCCTCTTTTGTTAATATCAACCAATTTTCAAAATCAAATATATATAAGGGGGTTTATTCGATCAAGTATTTGAGAAAAAAATAAGATTTGAGTAAATCCAAAAAAATCTGAGATTTGAGTGAATCTTATAAGAGATTATTACAAGTTTTATTATTTTTTGAATAAATTGCAGAGTTTGGAAAAATATTTTAGTTTTTAAATATTTATTTAAATAATATTTTATTTTTGAGTTACTATAATTTGATATTTTTATTATTTTATGATATATAGAAAATATAAAAAGTTGTAAAAAACGATTTTAATTTTTTAATTTCATTGAAACAGTTTGATTTTCTTTTAAAAATGTGAAGTACATATATATACATATGTATATTTTCAAGTTTTAAATACATTCAAAGGAGTTGGTATTTTAGATTCATTGTTTTTCACTATAAAATATCATCCAAACTCTACCAAATACCATTTGGTAAGTTTTATTGATAAAATACATATTTTTCAAGAAGCTGAAATTTGGGAGAACGTATAGAAATGATTAATTGAATACGCTTGAATTTCATTGTTTATAAATGCCAGATACCA